GCCCATCCACATTTGGCAAGATATTTCCCACTAAGCTCCTATGCAACCATTCCTTATCCTCATCCGTGGAGTTGTACTGTATCATTTGTTGTGGTTTGGATGTGAGAACCTCAGCAAAGGATCTGTTATCTCTTAACATAAGTTGGGGTTTATGAGGGGATGCAGGTTTGGGTAAGGGTCTATGAGGTGATGTTGGCAGGGGAGGTTTAGAGGATTGAAGCTTAGCTGGGTTCACTCTTAACTTATAGGAATCGAACCAAATGTTACTGGCTTGGTCACAAAGATCAGACACAGGCAGGGGTGATAGTATTTCCACAAAACCAAAGCGTCGGCCAAGAACTGTTTTTCGTTTGGACAGAAACAGTTTGATAACCCGGCCAAACTTTCCGAAAGTCTTTTTCAGGTCTTGATATTCCACGCACGAGGGGAATCTCTCAAAGAACAGCTTAAGATGGTCTGTACCAGTAGGGGTATTGACATAAGATGCCGAGCTAAAATTTTTTGTGGGGGGTTCAGATGGAAGGATAGGGGAGGCGGCCTGGTTTGAAGGGAAAGTGACAGGATAATCTGTTGGATTTAGGTAAGGAGTTGTTATTGTGGGTGGTTGAGGTAGGGTCTGAAGATGTTGGTAAGGAGTTTTGTGGAGGTGTAAGATTGATGATGCGATGACGGGCATGGGGGGGTGGTTTTTGGTGAAGGGTGCAGAGGATGCAGAGGATGAAAGGCTCAACATTTTTTGTAATGTCGAGTTTGGTGGAGGGTGGTGTGAATGGGACAGGGGACGTGAAGGTGGAAGGATTCGGATGTTTTGTTTGTTTGAAGGATGTTCATGTTGATGTTTGTTTGCCATGGCTTTTTGGAGAGGTTTTTTGAGGACCCTGAAGGGATCTGATATACCCAATAGCTTCTAACAGGACAGAGGTCGTGTCAGTCTGCGAAAGAGCAACAACTCACAACAGGATAGGAAGTGGAAATGGTGGTGGGTCGGCTGAGTTAGCGGGAAGTGATGGGCTGAAGGATTGTTTGGTTTGGGAGAGAAACAGAGGAAGAGAGGGGAAAAGATATTGTGGGGAGCGGCTGGCTTTGTTTCTCTAGTTTTGGTCAGTGAAGGGAGAGTGAGATCTGTCGGTTGAGGGAGGGGAAGACTTTGGCTGATGAGAGGGGAGAGTGTGGAGCTGAGAAGGGTAGGCTTCTGTGTTAGTGGGCGGCGGCTCTGTGCAAAATGTGAATCTAATTACCCCAAACCAAAACCAAGAACAAAAACTGACGAAGATCTTCAAGCTAAAGTAAGTTAGATTTCAAACCAAACCCAAGGCAGCTGCGGGTGGTGGTGCTGCAGCTCGAGATGCGCCTCGCTGCTGCTCAGACAAGTGCTCACGCTTCTGGATCCAATGGATCCGCTGTTGGAGCCACCGCCACCGGCACTGCTGGAGCCGCTGGAGCCATCCCTGCCACAGCTTGACCAGATGGAGATGCTGGATCCGATGACAAAGTCGTGGAGGCGTTGAAGATGAAGAAATTATAAATCAGATCATTATGCCACAAGTTTTTCTTTCTCGAATTTATCTTTCAAACTGGAAGCCAATGAAGTGCCTGGTTTTTACAGTCGTATTGCAGCATCAAACAAACCTGGATTTTCTATTTAATGTTAATCAATTTACTGTATATTTGATATTTACTGTATGTTTGATGTTGTGATGTATAATGTTTTTTATAAAATATTTTTAATTAAAAATATATTAAAATAATTTTTTTTAATCGGATCCGTCAAAAGTGCTAAAAACAAATTCATTAATTTATTATTTTTTCATACCAAATTACTTTTAAGACTCAGGTTAAACCGCAACCTCAAACAACATTCTAATCTCCATCCGGTTCGATTTATGTGCACATCACACATGGTCAAAGGAGGAAAAACGAGACACAGAGAACTACCACACACTGACAATTACCAATGGACATGAGCATGTGTCGTTCTTGAGCATTTATCTAGTTTCTTTTACAATGATGTCTCCTTATTGTCAGCCAGCCAGCCAGCCAGCCTTATTAACAAATGATCATAGGTCAGCACAGAGAAATGGCCGATCAAACTTTGAAACATTCATCGAGGGTAGCCCTCTTTTCTGATATTTTATTTCTATTTTGCCATAGCTGATGGAAATTCAGAAGGTTAAAATATTCCAAGTTGTTTGTCATCACAGGTATTGTTCGAAGATCAAAGATTACATTTCTCTGTTTTCATTTTCTGGGATTATCGTGAGGATAGAGAAGATCTCGATGATAGGTGTGTTGACAAAGGAGCTCTTAGCCAACCGATTTGTGGTTTCGTTACTGTTTTTTAAGAAGTTTCAACTAAAAGTTATACATATATTTATTTTTATTTTAAGAATATTATATTTATTAAAAATAATATTAATATTATCACAGCATAATGAGATAGATTTATATTGAATCCATTTAATAAACAAGTTAACGAACTCAAATCGTAATTGAATTCAGATTATATATCAGATATATTAAATTCATATAATAAATAAGTTAACAAAGTCAAATCGTATAAATTATAAATCAAATCCATTAAATTATATCAACCTTTTCTTTTTGAGTATTTTTAAGTATAGACAAGAACCATATAGTTTTTGTTATATACTGTGTTATTCGACCAACATGAGATTTAAGTAAAGAACAGCACTGGACGGAAGGACATGAAGGCATCTGATTTAAGTAAAGAAGCATGCAGGGAGGGATCCCGAGTTAATTTGATTCATATTTCTTTGGTATTAATTTCTAGAACAGTTTTCGCTAGACTAAATTGCTTTGAGGTTTGGTTTTTGATTGTGTTTGTTTTTATGTTTAGAAATTATTTTTGAAAATTTTAAATTATTTTTTTAATTATTTTAGATCATTAATGTGTAAATGTGAATTTTTTTAAAATAAAAAATATTATTTTAATATATTTTTAAATAAAAAATACCTTAAAAAACCATTATCACATTCTTAAACAATCACTGATTAATTTCAGCATGCATTCCACATAATTAACGTGGCATTGGAAAATAAATATAGAAATTTTCAACATAATTGACAGACAAATTTTCAAGGACAGTATTCTGTTGGCATTGGAAAATATCAACAAAATATGTGGTCGATATTTTGCAGTTCAAAATGTTTTCCAAGCAACAGCATCAGCAACCATGTTTAACAAAAGGTCTAACATTATTTACATTTTCACGTGATTAACGTATTCAAGTTTAAGGTAACATTATATACAGAAGGTGTTGAAAATTCAGGTCAAATATTATTTTACATGAAGTACTCAAGTTTAAGATAACAACCCTTAATTATAGAGAAGAATATTATAAAGAGAACTTTGATATATTCATAAAACTTTTTTTTCATTAATTCTCTTCTAAGAAGTAGCCTCCAAGGCTATTTAAATATAAGGAAAGCATTCTAATTAGTAGAATATTAATTAAATTGAAAATTGTAATATAAATAAGAAAAAAAAATCCGAAAACAAGGAAAATAAAGATGATTTTGAAATTGTAGCTTCAGACGTAATCTATGCATGTAAAGGAAAACAAATGGCAAGCTAGTTGCCCCAAAATAAATAAGTAATTAGAATAATTAATTTGATAAAATTTTAGTTTAATTCAACAATTAAATCTAAAATTACACTTGTTTTTATGGTATTAGCGTTAGAGCATCTCAAAACTTTTTAAGACCTGAAAAAAAGAAGAAGAAAGTAAACTCATGACTGAAATAAAGTTCGAAATCATCACAGGTACTGATATCGCAGCTAAACAATGGTCCCAATAATTATATTAAATAATGCTGATGTATTAAATATTAGGCTAGATCGGTTACTTGCATTGGAAGGAAAAGTAAATGATATTACAACCAATAAATTTGGCAAATTAATATCTTCTGTTCAGCAGAGTTGAAGTTAAGGAAGAAGGAGTTTTAGAATATATTCTGGAGCTGTAATGTATATGTATGCAGCACTCAACTCATGTAATATATATATATATATATATAGAGTAGGGTTGTATATAATACTAACCATGTTACTCATTATCAGGAACCTATATAAGGTAAATACAAGATAAATATAAATATATATATATATAATAAACATTTTATAATATGTCTCCTCGAGCTAAAGGATAAGGAGAATCCACATGAAGCTTGGATTGAAAATAAATGAAGGATGGATGAGGAAGACATTTGGGAAGAACATCAGCAAGTTGATCCTAGAAGGAGATGAACCAAACCGCAATTTTCTTTTTAGCAACTTGATCATGAACGAAGTGATAATCAACTTTAAAATGCTTAATGCAAGTATGAAAGATAGGATTAACAGACAAGTAGGTAGCATCCAAATTATCACACTAAAGGATAGTCATAGGATCAGAGGAAAAATGAAGACTTGACAACAGAGTCCGAATCCATAAAATCACTATACTACCATTTGTAAGAGTTGATCCTAGAAGGAGATGAACCAAACCGCAATTTTCTTTTTAGCAACTTGATCATGAACGAAGTGATAATCAACTTTAAAATGCTTAATGCAAGTATGAAAGATAGGATTAACAGACAAGTAGGTAGCATCCAAATTATCACACTAAAGGATAGTCATAGGATCAGAGGAAAAATGAAGACTTGACAACAGAGTCCGAATCCATAAAATCACTATACTACCATTTGTAAGAGCCTTATATTCTGCTTCAGTTAATGAACGAGCCACTATGCATTGTTTTCCAGACTTCTAAGAAATAGGTGTTTGGCTGAGATATACCAAGTAGTCACTTGTGGATTTTCTGTTATCAAGACTACTAGCCCAATCAATATCTTTAAAACCATGTAAGAAAAGAGAAGAGCCTCGAGTGATGTGCAAACCATAAGAAAGCCCAATCAATATATTTAAAACCATGTAAGGAAAGAGAAGAGCCTCGAGTGATGTGCAAACCATAAGATGTCGTTCCTTGTAGGTACTTGACAATTCTTTTGATAAGAGACTAATGGCTATCGGTAGGCGAGTGTATAAATTGACAGATTTTATTAACAAATATTTGAGCGAGTAAAAGTGAGATATTGAAAAGCACCAACAATATGTTGGTAACTGGTAGGATTAAAATACTGAGCATCCGAGGTCAGCAATAGCTTAGAAGAGGATGAAGCAGGCGTGTCGACAGCTTTACATGAAGACATACCAGCTCACTAAATGAGATCAAGAGTATATTTATGCTATGAAAGCATAAGTTCTATAATTGTCTTGGTGACTTCAATCCCTAGGAAATAATACACAAAGCCTAAATCCCTAATTTTGAATTTTGAATTTTGAATTCAGTAAGGTAATCAAGTGCCATAGTAGAGTTGAATTATTCACAGTAACCATGCTCAAGGAGCCTATTTTAAACCATAAATAAACTTATGCAGGTGACAAACATGAGATGATAGAGTAGAGTAAGAAAAACCTAGAGATTTCTCTATATACATTTCTTCTTGAAGAATCCCATTCAAGAAAACATTGTGAACATCAAGTTGATGAATAAACCACATATAGGACACAACAATAGTAAATACTAACCTCACGACCAGACTCCTCCTCATCCTTCGGCTCCTTCATTGTTCTAGTTCAAATTTTTTTTGAAAACACTCTAAAATTGTAATGAATATTTAGATGAATATTTTAAATTTTATTTTTAATATTTTATATAATTTTATTTTCTTAATTGGTTTTTACTATAATTTTATATTATTTATTCTACACAATTTTATTTTTTTTAAAATACTTTTAAATATAACCAATAGAATAATATTATCAGTATTTTATAGAAAGTTATGAAATATTTACTATATATGCCATAATCATCGACGTCTCTATAGACAGAATGAGTATGTCATTATTTTATCAATAGTTGTAAAATATTTATTGTATAAGTCATAATCACCGACGTTGTCGATAAGTTACTGATGGAAAAATACCGACATAATAAATTTATTAGTATATTTTCAGCAGGAAATTTTTTTTTTTTTTTTTTTTACCAAAAATTAGTTACAGAACATGAAATTACTAATGAATGTTATTTGGATAGAAATTATCAATGAATGTTATTTTGATAGATGTATTATGTCGGGGAATTAATCATTAAAATTTTTACTGATAAAATAGTAATCTTACACCAGTAAAAAATAACCATCGGTGAAACTGTTAAATGTTGACGTGAATGACAGCAATGCATTTCGTACGCTGAGAGGAATTGAAATCAGACGCTTATGGCATGAAAAAGAAGGGACATGAAGGGAATCTACAACCGGAGCGGTGTCAACTCTAACTCCTGCATTGCTCATGTTCTTAACCAGACACGGACAATCCAGTCCATGTGACGAGAGCTAGGACTTGGGATCCTATTCAAGGAAGCAAAAAAGAGATAAAGAAACTGAAAAGGGAAAGGTTAAATTTTGGCAAGAAGGAAGGGAATTCAGTAGTGAAAGATGTTTGGCAATCCAAGAAGTACTGTGAGTTGAAGCCTTGAAGTTGCCAAGGTGGTGTTTCTGTCTTAGAAAGAGACGGCGGAGAGAAGTGCAAGAGGGGAAGGGGAAGTAATGGACCCAACTTGGTATATGGGACCCGTCAAGAAACAGATTACTTATCGTGTTATGATAAGAGTCTTGAAAAGGAAAGCAATGGACCAGTCTTTGGTGTGGAAATTGGTGATGGATGGATTATATCTTGGGTTGGTGAAGATAACGTTTTAGCAGCCATTGTTTCCGAGTGAGAAAGTTTTGTCTGTGTAGGGCAGATGAAGAGGTATTCGTTGTTGATAATTCTAGCCAACCTGCGACTTGTAAGTGCCTAGCGGTCCCCTTATGGTCACTTTAGCTATATGGTAACTTCCTTTAGCTTCCCATGCAACAACATCAGCAACCTTGTTTAAAAGGAGTTAAAATAGAAGGTGTTGAAAATTCAGGTCAAATATTATATATATTCTCGCGTGATTAATAAACACCCAAGCCGGCTCTCGTGACGGAGGCATACGTTTTTAAATAAAAGAATAAATTACTAACAAATATTTAATATTATATATTATATAAATATGTGTTATATAAAAAAATTTATCAACTCAAGTCAAGTAAAATTAATTTAATTTTTTTAAAATATATTATAATTATTTTATGCAGGATTTTATATTTTAAAACTGTTTTATAAATATATATAACAAATTTTTATTTATCTATTTCTAAATTCTTTAAAGACTACAAAAATTCATGGCAATAATTCTATGCTGACATATAATATATAACATCTAAAATTATAAATTAAAAAGATTGTCACACATTGATGTTGTTCTTATTTATTTGTTACAAATGGATTAAATATAAATATTAAATATTTTTTTTTAATTTATCTATTATATCCTTAATTTTTTTAGTTGTTCTGTACTTCATTTTTAATTACTTGTAAATTCATAATCATCATTTTTCATATAAAATTCATTACAAAATATTTATTAATTTATCAAAATTCATTTTAATTTATATATATCCACTAACATATAATATTACTTATATATATATATTAATTCAACTAACCCATAAATAATTATAAACTCTAATATTTTTAATAACTAATTAGTATAGAAAAAAGAAGCTAACAAGTAGCTAACAAAAAATTATTTAGAAAAAAAAAGAGAGGCCAATTGTCTACTTTTGTACCCATGTGGCTCCACCACTGCCCCCCTCAGCTACCTATAAATACAAGTGATCTATGCAGATGTTGTTCACTGCTCTATTTCCCTAACGGATAAAAAACCTGCCATCGATTGAGCATCCTTGCCGAAGCAACATGTCTACCGAAGTCTCCCAAGAAGCTCATCATAATGAGATTATTCGCCGGACAGCCAATTTTCATCCAAGCATTTGGGGTGATCAATTCATTTCCCATCTCCCCAAAGACAAGGTCATTGCATGCGAAAAGGACAAAACTATATATATATATATATTCTTTGTTATTTTCTTCTCACTTTGAGAAATTTAATGATGCGTTTAATATTATGGTAACTGATGCAGGTACGTGAAGCCATTGAATTGCAAGAAATTGAAAAGCTGAGGGAACAATTTAAGAGGGAACTCTTGGCTGCAGCTAGTAATTCATCACAACAGCTGGATCTTATAGAAAGCAGATGCTCATGGAAACAATTCAACTGCACCTGTAAGCCAGCAACGTGGAAACCAACATGGAAACGAATCAGCCCTCATGAAAACAAATCAACTGCAGCAGCAAGCCAGCAACATGGAAACAAATCAGACAGATAAGAAAGAGACGTTGGCTGATTAGAATCACCAGCAACATGGAAAGAAACCAACTCTCATGGTAACAAAACACAAACAGAAAGAGACGTTGGCTTAGCATGGAAATAAATCAACAGCAGCAGCAATGAAGTTCATGATAGAAACCAGAAACTTAAATACACGTTGGATTGTTATGGAAATAGATCAGCTAAGAATTAGGCAAGTCAATGTATCCAAATCAAGCAACTTGTAATGTTATAAAAAATAGCAGCTCGTATAGAATAGCAAGTTGTATATTCACGTTAATATTCAAAGAAACAGAGAAACCTTTCTTCTATTGAAACATTCTTATTCTTCTCCAAATTTCCGCTGTAATTAGTATATGTATGGCCATTTGTTATAAGAAAAGTGCATAACATAATCTTCATAAAAATTTTCAAGTCCATTTCTTTGGTGATTTAATTCAGATATATTCAACAAGTTCAAAGATGACAAAGGTTATTTCAAGCAATCCAATGATGTTCGAGGCATCCTAGGTCTCTATGAAGCAGCCCATCTAGCGGTGCATGGAGAAGATATTCTTGACGAGGCCCTTGCTTTAACAACCATCCACCTCAAGTCCATGGCAACTAGTCCAGACTGTCCACTAGCAGCAAAAGTTTCTCATGCCCTAAAGCAGCCCATCAGAAGGGGCGTTCCAAGACTGGAGAGCAGGCGCTACATTTCTATCTATCAGGACGAGCCGTCATGTAACAAAACTTTACTAAGGCTTGCAAAGTTGAATTTCAATCTCGTGCAAGAATTACATAAAGAAGAGCTTGCAGAAATTACAAGGTGATGCTTGTATCCAAATTTAGAATGGAAGCACGTTGACATGTTAAAATGAATATTGACGCAGAGCAAGTTACAAATGCGTGCATTAGCGCCTTTTTCTTCTTTTTCTTTTTTTGAGGATTACTTGTGGAGCTATTTACTTATTCAGATAGTGCTCAATATTTTATTTGTTTCAGGTGGTGGAAGGGTTTGGACTTTGCTAGAAGGCTTCCTTTTGCAAGGGACAGGGTGGTCGAGTGCTTCTTTTGGATAGTAGGTGTTTATTTTGAGCCTCAGTACTCCCTCGCCAGGAAAATACTTACCAAAGTAATAGCCATGACATCGATTATTGATGACATCTATGATGTTTATGGCACCCTTGAAGAGCTGAAACTTTTCACAGGAGCAATTGACAGGTTTGTTGCATGGAAACGGCTCTTTTATTTTATTTTTTTAAAAAGTAGAGCTTAATTAAGAGACAAATAACGGTTACATTGCGATTACAAAAACCTGGACACTTAATTTTCAGGTGGGATACTAAAAGCTTGGACCAGCTTCCAGATTACATGAAAATATGTTATGAGGCACTATTGAATGTTTATAGTGAAATTGAGGAAAAAGTGGCGAAGGAGGGATGGTCCTGCAGAGTCCACTATGGAAAAGCAGCAGTACGCACCACACTCTTGACAATCTCCTTAAATCAAATACTAATATACTATATGTTGTAGTTTACCGTGTAGAAATTACTCTATTATGTTCAACTTAGTAATGACTTTTATATGTACGATGTATAACACATGACAGTTCTAGTCCATGCCTACTTTAACGAAGCCAAATGGTTCCATGAAAATCATATCCCGACGATGGAAGAATATATGCAGGTGGCTCTAGTAACGACTGGTTATTGCATGATCGCAACCGTGTCTTTCATTGGCATGGCCGACATGGTGACCGAGCAAGCATTTGACTGGGTATTCAATCGCCCTAAACTTGTTAGAGCCTCAGAAACAATTTGCAGACTCATGGATGATTTAAAATCACATAAGGTATGAGCCTATTTTAATTTGTTAAAAAACATTTACGTAAAGATTGTTTGACATTCCTTGAAAGTAATTGCTGTTGGAGTTAGGATAACTTGATAGTTTGGAAATGGATGAACTGCTTGGATTGTTGAGGAGGAAATAAACAACTAATTACATTGACGCCATAAATATGGTAGAAGTTTGATACATTTATTTTTTCGTCAATTTATGAATTGCTTTACTAATTAATTATAGCTTCTAGGTTTTTTACTGGAAGTATGGATTAATTCCCAAACCTTTACCCTTTATTTCCCAGAATTCCAAAAAATCCACCCTCCATGTCATAAAGGTCTCTGAGCTTCTTTTAATCTTATTATGTATGCTTTTTAGTTTGAACAAGAGAGAGGACATGCTGCCTCAGGAATTGAATGTTACATAAGGCAATATGGTCTCTCGGAACAGGAAGTGTATGAAGAGTTTCACATGCAAGTCGTCAACGCTTGGAAGGATATAAATGAAGAGTGTCTCAAACCTACCGCTGTGCCAATGCCTCTGCTTGAGCGCATTCTCAATCTTTCGAGAGTCATGGATGTCATTTACAAGGAGGAAGATGGGTATACCCATGTTGGAAAAGTAATGAAAAATAATGTTGCGTCATTGCTTATAGATTCAGTGCCAACATAACTGCTAGGTTGCGGTTACAATGGAAACAAATGCCTGCCGGTTATAGCCCCATGCTAATGAGGAGCAAAGGAGACTTTCTACTACAATAAGGATGCTTATTTTTCTTATTTTGTACCTTTTCTATTTCAGTTTGATATATACTTCGTGTGCTGTCGTGGACAACTAAAATTAAAATAAAACCAAGACTGTTTAACAAAAAATATAATAGTTCGAGCATTTATTGTTTCCACGAAAAGTATCTAGCCTAATTAATATTGTGCTACACGAACAAAGATGGAGGGTTTGAGTATAACAAATATACACGAACAAAGATGGAGGGTTTGAGTATCTAGCCTAATTAATATCTAGCACATTCCCGCGTGGTGTTGAATAATGATTTTTTATTCATTTTCTTGATTTAATTTTTTAAAAGTTTCCATGTAGTACTTAATTGAGGATTATTAAAAAATTTAAATATAATAATTTTTTCTTGTGATTCAAGAATAAAAAAATAAAAAACTGATTGTAATTAGAAAAAATACTAATATCTCTAGTACCTTACATGACTAGTTATGTAACTAGTATCTTACATAACATAATAACGTAATTTGATGTGATTTAAAAATTTAAAATATTAAATAAATTTTAAAGTTTCAATAAATCAATTATTAAATTCTAAAATATATATAAAATATATTTTTATATTTTTGTTCTAAGATATTTTCTATATTCAAATTAAATAATTAATTCTTTTTATCATTTTAATTTTTATAATTCAATAACATAAATAAAAATACAAAACACACACACTTCTCTTCTTATTACGATTTTCTCACACCATCTTTACATGTTTACAACAGTATCTACATATACATATCATCTGGAAATTACAAAAAAGATTAAAATCCTCTAGAACAATGCTAGAACAATGGCGACGCGTTGTTCCACCCGCCACCGCCACTCGCGGCGCGTGTGTTCACGCACCGCCACCGCTGAAGGCAACAAAAACCAGTGGATCAGGAACATCTTCCTCTTTTCTGTCTCCCTAAGCTGGCGGTGATATGCAAAACAACCGAAAACACAACAGGTAGTCGATTTTAGTTTTTTTTTTTTCTCCTTAGATCTGGTTCATTCGGGTCTTCTCCTTTTTCTCTTTGTTTTCATTCTACCGATGGCAGATCTAGTGGTTGGGAGAGCTTCTTCTTCTTCTCCTCCACTTCAGGTGGCGGCAAGACCAAGGGGGCTGCCGACTGCTAGGCTTTTGTTGGGTCTAGCCAGCAGCGATGGAAGTGGTGGTCCAGTTAGCGGGCTTGGTTGGAGGAGATGAAGAGGTTGTTGGCTACTACTATTCGGTGAGCTGGGTTTGCTGAAGAATACAGCAGGGGGTTGTCGTTGTGTTCAGTCTAGGAGTGGCGGCCAGTCTCTGTCATGTGGAAGGTTGAAGATAAGAAGAAGTGGGGGAACATTAGGAAAGTTTTGGGTTCGGGGCTTGTGGTGTTTTCCTGTTTAGGTGAGCGGCTGGTGTTTTGTTTCGGTTTGGGAGAGAACCAGAGGAAGCGGGGGGAGAGAAGGAGGTGACTGGCGGCCTGGGAGAGAAAATGAAAGCCACTGGGGGGGGTTGTTTGGGTTTAAGGTTTTTTTTGTCTGTTGTTTCTTTCAAAATTCCCCACTGTTTATTTTCTCCCACCCTCTGTGTGTGTGTGTGTGAAGGGTTTTTTTATTGTTGTTTCTTTCAAAATTCCCTATTTTTTATTTTCTCCCACCCTGTGTGTGTTGTGACATTTATTTATGAGTAAAGTGATTTGATTTCTAAAATATATTGGTCCTTATCTTTTTTATTTTTTATTAATTTTGATTTTTTGAAAAAGAACAATATCAACATCGACTTAATAAAAAAAATTAGTAATTAATATATTAAAAGTTGAACGCATGTAAAATACTTATGAAAATTTAAATTCTTCTAAGATGATGTTGAAAATGCTAAAAACGATGTAAATATATTAAAAATATATTTTTTTGGGTTTTCCTTATTTTTTACTATTTTTTTGGTTTTTTTTGAAAATTTATTAAAAAAATTGTGTAGCAACAACAAAAGCAGCTTAAAAAAAATAACTAAGAAACAACTCAAATTAAAATATCAAAATCAATCAAAAAAATAATCCTTAGTGCAAGTCAATATTCATCATCGCTTCTTTTACAACTGATCATTGATGGATATATATAAA